CAATGTATCAGTTAAATGAACTGTCTTAAATATAATCATAAAACAAATTTTTGAAGCACTATTTTGAGCAGTAGCAACAAAAAACTGATTTTTGAGGAAAAACGCCTTAAATTTTTGAGATTTTCCCTGAGAGTTAGTAAAGTTTTGTTTCTTTTTAGCTGGGAAATCTCAATATTCAAATATAACTTGAGGTTTCCTCTTTATAAGGACATCAAAAATTCCTCATTAAAATGACATCAAATTAGGATTCAGACCAAATATTTATGTTTTATTGTAACCAACAAGACAAATTAAGTCATATATATGGATTTAATTATGATATCAGGATGATCCAGGTATCAAAACGTAACTTTTAAAGCCAAGAATCTGAAAATGTAATTAGGTCATTTTTGACCAAATTTGACTTAATCCTCATTTTCGATATGATGGCTCACATTTGTGAAACTTGTAAACAAAGATAAACTCCATGTAAATGGTTATAATTGAGTTTATTACTTCAAACTCATTAAAGAATTAATTAATCTGCTGTCCAAGTTTTTGCCAAAAATTCATAGCTTAGTTTAGACGTTAGCCTTTCACTTGTGTTTCTACTCATATCTCTTCTTTTGTATTTATCTGTRTTGTTTGCTTTATTGTTTATAGCAGCAATGACAACAAAATTTGATCATAAACAATAGATTTCCCTAAAACAACTCAATACATCAGTATTTATTACATTCATAATAATACTGTTTACACTAACTCAAACTCTGCCTATATTACAGATGTTCAAACTATAAAATTTCAATGATGCTGGTAATAAACGGTTATAATGCAGTAGGTGGGGTGAAGGAGGGCATGGATTTGTGTTTGTAATGGAATCTGTAAGCGTGTTCTGTGCATTCTGACCTATTAACTTCTACAGCTACATTGTCTTGCATGAACTGTTGTGCTGTGAACTCACTGTAATGAGAGGACGACWCCAAAGCTGGAGAGGAGGATCATGGGGAGGAGGCAGTATCCCAGAACGCTAGCCACGCAGCCGAACGACACGCCTGTCATGCTCATTAGGTTGAGCAGGCAGTACATGGCGAGGCAGCCGATCGCACTGATGCCGTACACATAACCAAACTGGATTTTACCTGACTGTAAACAGAAGAAAACAAACTAAGTAAACACACACAGATACTTCAGCATGCTTAATTAAAGATAAATTAGAAAGGAAAGAAATAAGTCTCACATCTGACAAACAAAGTTTTATACTTCTGCTTCAATGTGGCTCACCGGTTATTTAGCATTTACATTAACAGGCTGACACCCTGGCCAAAAACTGCACTGGAATAAACATTATAAAAGCTTTAAAGGTATAACTACAATCCATATGCTCAGTCAATTTTTAGGTTGGYAACTTAATTACTGCGCAAGTCAACAGCTGTGCTACATTTAGCTAAATAGTTTGGATAATTAAGACATTAGAGGATCAAATATATTTAATCTTTWTTTAATTTGAGTAGATTAGTTGACACTTAGTAGTTTCATTAGCATCAAACTAATTCAGCTGATTATAGAATGGCTGTAGTATAAAACCAAAAGGACAGAAAATGTGTAACTATCAAAATCAAATCATTAGTATCTGCATTTTTTTTCCAGCATCAGCATCCACTGAGTGATTTACCAAAAGGAGTGTTGCCCCAAAGGCCAAACAAAAGACCATCGGGCCAGCCAGGTCTGTCTCGTTCATGATGCTTCCATCTGCTGCTTTCATTGGATGGAGCACCGTCAGAGTCTTCTGCCAGATGTGGTCAAAATTGATGCCTAATTCTAAAAAGAAACACCGAAGCTGTGATCAAACACTTTGATTGTCGGCAATTGTACAATATAATTATGTAGATGTAATAAAGGAGTGTAAGAATAGAAAAAAAGTGTCATGTTTTATGTAAAAATTATGAAAAACACATAAAAAAGCAGTTTGCTACAATCCATAATTTGTGGTACTCTTGTTTCATTTAATTGACCTTCTAGCAGTGGTGGCTCATCATCGAAGCTGTTACTGTACATGGACTGTGACGTGGATGGGTTGTAGGTCTGTGTGGGCTGGAAGATTTGTCCTGTGTACGGCTGCTGAGGCTGCATCATTCCCGGGGTAGAATAGGCCATAGGCTGGGAGTAATCATACTGACCGTACGGCCTGGGAGAAAGCATGTTGACAATCAATTATGAGACACAAAAAAAGTCTTAAAAAACAACCTCCACCACCCTATTATACACACAAATGTATATTGCAATCAATACAGACAATTTAATACAAAAATAACATCAAATATAGTGTAGGCAGAGGCTTAAAATGCCACACAGATTAGGTTTTAGTTCTTACAATGGCGCTTTACAGATACAGTTTTAAAAAGTGTGACTAAAGGACAATCGGAGACAAACAAGATTTCTCTCTTACTTGTTGTAGGGGTTTTCAGAGTTGGTGTAGCCATAGCCACCCTGGCTTTGGTCATCTACACTGTAGCTGGACTGGTAAAAGTCTGTGTTGAAGTTATCAAACCCTGACATTGTTTACTCTGTTAATGAAAAACAAAAACCACATTTACGATTGTACTGTAGATTTTAGATGTTTTTGTGTAACAATTAAAGTACTTTAAATGCATATTAGAGGTTTTATGATAAGTAAACCTGAAAACACATCAGGAAGATGAACTGCAGCTACAATTAAGAATATGTGGACACAAACAAAATTGTAGCAATTTATGGTAAATGGACTATTTATATAGTCCCTTTCTATCCAACCAGGATACTCAAAGCACTTTACACTGCAGCCTGTGTCCTCATTTACCCGTCCACACAGCACCCCAAGATCTCACTAGAAAGTTAACCTACAAATCAATCTATAGACTAATCAGTGCTTTAAATTACTTTAATAAACTGATGGGACACAAACCACAGGCAGTGGGGGTTCAGTGTCTTGCCCAGAGACACTTCGGCATGTGAAAAAAATAGCGGGGAATCGAACTGTTTTGGATTACAGTTTAAAAATGGTCAAGCWGTATTAGAAAAAAAAACAGCTTTCACTCAAACAAACTAAGGACAAATTGCATTATTTTAATTAAATATGTATAAAGCTGAAGAATATAACTTTTACAGCTACTCAAAACATGCAAGGGCAGAGAAACAGCAGCAACCTGACAAATACATTGTGTTTGGGAAATGATGCTTGATCTACAGGCAGCAGACAGTCTGTCATTTAATGTATATTAAAAGACAAAATAAATATATGATTTCAACCCCATAAAGCAGACCTTTTATAATCTCAAAAGCCAAAACAACACAAAAAGCTGAGGTTTGCCAACAATGAACGTCAGCAGAAAAAAAGGTCCTAAAGCATGATTTAATTGTGATGTACACAAAACTTCACTGCTTTCAGTGTATTATTTTTAAACAAAGCGTTGCGACCGATTTATTGTATTTATTTAATACATTTGAGTTTGAATGTGATGCAATACCCACCCAAAGCAATAGTCTGTACATTAAGCCTACAAAATTAAGCCCAAACACATTTTGTAAGTGCCAAAAAAAGGACATTATTGTCAAACAAAAACAGTAGGACTACGAAAGCTTGATTATAAATAAACAATCAAAGTAAAAATTATAAGCAGGGTCCAAATATTTGACTTAAGTCTCACTATTTACTCTCCAAAAAGCATTTCGATTTCGTGTTTATTCTTTTTAAAGACTAGCAGCGTTAGCATGTTAGCTATAACGGTAGCTTCCTCAAAGATGCTACTGCATTCACACACAMAAAAACAAGACAAACAATACATAGTAAACCTTTTTGGGATCTTTACTATTAGGTGTACAAACTGTCAAAATGTCTAAAAGGCGAAACCACCTACCGACAAACGACATGACAGTGAGTTTAAAAGCTGTGTTAGCATCTACTCATCTTTAAAAGGCTAAGCGCTCATTTTGCAGCTAGTTTGTTAGCATTGCAAAAACATAACTCGCAAATTATGCGTATAATGACGTTTAACTTCACTTATTTTTTTTAAACGTAATCTTTATAATATTTTTAAAAAGCCTCATAATACAGTGACTTGCCTGTATAACAGCGGACAACTCTAACCAGAGCCCTGCCAACTTGACAGTAGCTGCTACGTGTCAGGGAGAAAAGTAGCAGACGGGAAGTCGTGAGGGACATTACACACGTTGGTCATTAGTCGTTGCAGAAAATAGGGCGCCACCTATACGCAACATTGGGAACTGCAATCAACTTTTTCAATCTACATTGTGTCCTTTCACTACATTTTAAAACAATAATAAACAATAATCTAATAGCAATTTATAATTCAATAATAAATTACAAAGATGATTTAACGAGTTGCATATTAAACCAATGAAAATGCTAAAATGTCAACTATAGCACTGAAGCTGATCTAAACACTTCAAATTTAGGCCAAATTAAATATGTATATTGAATTGTAATGTAAAAAAAGTAAGATATAAAGTAAAATAAAAAAAATCTATTGGATTACATTTTAAAAATCAAAGCATTTGTTTTTATTGAGAAGGAATAAGGAACATAAGCCTTTAAGCAATCCATTTTCCAATGCTATAGACCAAAATTATTTTCTATGGTGATGTCTAAATTTTGGATTACACCAATAAAGTATTAAAGTTGAGAAACTCTCTTGTTACATTTGTATACTCATGACTGACAAACAAAAGATTGTGTAGTAGTCCTGAAATCGAGCTGTGAGCCTCTATTCTGAATTATCTGGTGAATTAATCATGAATTAATTATCTGATGAACGTGACATGCTCTTGCTCTCGGTAAATAAAGCAAAGCCACTTCCTCGTCCGACATTAAACAGAGCCCGACAGAGGGGGGAGGGGCGGGGAGGCTGTTGCCGTGCAGCGCTTCAAGAGCTGACCTGCGTCTGACCTCAAAGTGCACGAGCGACCTGCGATTTTGAAGCTGAAATCGCGTTCGGTGTGAACGCAGCATTAAACACAATAAACTAACATAAAATGTATCCATCACAAATGTAAAAACACTGCTGYCTGTTTCAGCACTGCAAAACCCAATCATGTTATGACATGTAGTTTAAGAACAACAAGGTTTAATAGTTGCAAATAGATTCAAAGCGTAGATGACAATAAAGGGTAATGGAACAGGACAAGCACCGGGCAGCTGGGAAGAACAAAGGTTGTCACTTTGAACAGGAAGCAGAGGGGGAGATCAATCACTCTGCGTGTGCAAGATGGTACAGATAATGCAAAATAATGGGCCCATGACCTCTGCAGAGAGGAAGTAGGGACAGTAAGAAATGAGAAACAGCAACAGAATAACAGATGTTGGTTTCGATAGTTAGAACATTAGAAATGAAGAAACACAGATGAGAGAAAGAGAGAGAAACCTTACAGTTCTGGTACTCTTTCATCTTTAGATTTTATAAATTAAATAAATAAAAAACAGAATAAAAACAACAATATGTATAAAAAAATACAACAATTAAAGTGAAAATTCATGCTAAAAACTAAACCTTCCAGACAATATTTTAACAATTACTGACTGAGATTTTTTAACTTAGAGCTGTTTAAAATTGGAACATCTTCTGCCTTTGTGCTGAAACAGGAACACTCTTGCCAGTCATAACACAGAAATACATTAGACATAAATTAACTTCAGCAGTGTGGAAAGAGAACTAAATTATACAAGTTTTTTTTCCTGCTCCTGGCCTGGAGATAGAAATATTTTCTCAGTGACAGGTGGGAAAATTATACATGCAGAGGAATACATGAAGAAATAAAAACTCATTATTCACTTGTGACATATTGAGTGTTTTGCACCTTTAATGGTAAAAATTGTTTTTAATTCCAGATCTCTTAGTGGGGTTTATATGTAATTCTGGGAAACGTAAAGAACTGTCGCCTCATCAAGGCTTCAGAAGRCAAAGTTGCAGGCTAAGTAAAATCTCTACTTGCAAATAACTTTTACTGCATAATTTACCACATATTTGAAACACTTTTAAATGTGGTATTTTTGGGTAAAATCTCATAAAACAAACTTTTAATCTCTTCAAAACACAAGCAAACATAACGGGAATGCTGAATGCTTTGTTGTAGCTAAAACTACTAGCAGAACAGATGCTAAAAGAAGAGAAACAGATTCTAAAGCTAAAAGTATTAGCAAAACAAATATTCAAACTAGCAAAACAGTAGTTAGGATTACTAAAAATGTATTTAAAATGATCAAAACAATACCTAAAAGCTAAAAAAGTGACTAAAATGTAGCAAATTGGTGGCTAAAAGCTAAACGCAGGAAGACCAAAACAGCAAGTATCCTGATTTAGATTTTAAAGATAAAGTTTATGTTGATAACATTGAATTTTTACAAAACCCTAAGATCCTTGCACACTATTCACAATCAAGAAGAAGTTTTTTGATATATCTGTAGCTAAAATACCACAAAATATGCAGATGTAGTTGGACTGCAAAAAGGGTCCAGAAGAAGGTATAAACATGAAATCAATAGTGTGAATGAATGCTGACTCAGCATGTGGAGCACAGCAACCTTCTTGACTTGGATCATTGCATTGAGAATGAATAAAATCACTTGGACTAAAAAAATAATAATAAAGGAATGCTTACAGATTGAACCCATGACTACTCTGAGTAAGAAATGAGTCTCCTCTTCTTCATTGCCTTTCACCATTTATAGACTTTTAATCCTTTATATACATGAAGAACATGCCTTTCTTTTTAATCCACTTAATTAAAAAAAATCTAAAAGTGCCAGAAAGGGTAATTGAATTCAAAGCAGCAAATTGCCATGTACTGTCATGATTGCTTTCTTTATTATAGTTTCTGCTGTAATCCTGCAGTCACTGAGTGGATTAAAACCACCGAAGTTCCTCTGTGGCAGCATACGCACATCTTCAGCTATATCCCCAATTATATAAATATTTGTCTCCCCACCTCCACAGCATCCAGGAGAGAGAAGGGGAAACTAATCTGCACTCTTTTGCACAAAACCTATGCAAATGGTGGATCATTATAATTGTAAATTTTGAGCTGACGCGCTCACACAGTGGGGGAATTCTATTCCTGGCTAAACTGTGTGGGCATATATTTTCAAAATAGTCACAAAATTAACCTTCTCTAATTTTAAATTAGATTTTCTGCCGTCCAACTGTTTGTTGTGACTGCAGCGCAGATCATAAATTAGCTGACATCTGGTGTTTGCAGGCTTCTTTCGCTACAACAGCTTTCTCCACTCAGTGAATGACTTAACACAAGCTYGGGAAGAATCGTACCACAGCTGAGCAGTTTGTGCGTGTCTTTTATTCTGTTATGACATATTCATCCACTTCAGAGCTTCAGAATTCACAATAATGAGATTAGCCCTCCTTGAATGTTATGATTAYACACTTAACACCATAACTTTAGGAAGAAAACAAAGCCCTGAATATTAAATGTTCAAAAGGTGTCATTAGTAGATATGTGCATCCAGGGGTGCAGGTAGGATTTTTAAACTGTGGGGAACCAAGCTTTCTGCAAATAATTTCAATCCAGTTAGTTTTGAGTGATTTGGTTACTTTCAAAATAGCCAATGGGTGAACAGTTTGCATTAAAATGCCTTTAYAGAATTATTTTAAATCAAGGAAAAACAACGATGAACAATGTTAATTAACCTTCCCAATCAACACTAGCCATTCATTATGAAACTGTTTTTGTCTGGATACCATTCACCTACTAAAACCTGCTTCTAATATGCTTTCTTTCAACACTTGTGTGTGAACTCATATTTACATAAAAATCTGTTTTATAATGAAACACACATTTTTAAATGAAAAAAATATTATAACATTATAAAGTCATTTCTATTGGAAATGTTAACATTGTAACTCTTGTGATTTCACTTAATGATTTTATAAAATAAATAAATAAATAAAATTTAATCATGATTAAAATTTACAATCACTTTACTATGGCTGAACATGTAGGGTTGTATATTGCAATGCACTCAGTGCAAATGAGAAGTGGTTCTCAAACAGTTTTTCTGGATAAAAAAGGTTAAAAATAAATAAAAATATAATAAAACTCCATGTGCAACACATTATGTACAGTTTTTTTCTTTTTGTCTTCTTATAGCTTATTTTATTTTATTTATTTATGTTTTGCTGACAACTGTGACATTACTATCTATCTTTCATTCCTCATGCAGTTCTCATTTGGAATGAAAATCCTTGAATTCTTGATTTAACCTCATTATTCTGCACAAAATTTAACTGACTCAAATATGTTTGGAGCAT